ATAATGTCTATATATAGCTACACCACAAAGACACACTAAAAACACGCACATTTAATAGCACACTCCCGAGCTCTCCACCATTTTCGCGAGCTCGCAGGCTTGGTTGGCACGAGCGCGAGGATGGGCAGCACTCTCGAGCTCGTAGGCAGATTCGCGAGTGCGCGGGCGCGGTCGTGTGAGAGTGTGGGCATGCGGGCGTGCGGTCATGCAAGCGTGTGGGCGTGCGGGCGCGCGCAAGGAAGCACTCGCGAGGTCGCCAGCAGCGCCACGAGGTCGCGAGTGGGTGTGGAGGTGCGCACTCTCGAGGTCGCGCCCATTTCCGCGAGCACGCGGCGCGCGAGGTAGCAGTTGCGCGATACTCTCGACGGTGCTGGACTTTCCGTGAGCGCGCGGGCACGCAAGCAGCGCGGGTCGTGCGGCACGAAGCGCGGCGTGTGCGAGCGGGTGTGTGGGCGTGGGCTAGGTTCGTGTTTGATTCTTCATTTCGCTCTATCTTCTCGCACCGAACTCCGATTCGCCCGAAACTTGGACCAAAATTATTGTCTTTGAATGCTCTTCCTCCGAGTATGGTTTGGTCGGAATTTCCATATTGGACGGCTCGGTCGGCTCGGACGGCTCGTCTTCTCGTGCGCGATGAAATGGACCTAATCACACCAAAAACAAAGAGAAAAACGCAAAAATACGAACAAGCTATACAAGAGCAAGAATATACAAAACACGACAAAATGGACCGTTCGAGCCTAAAAACGGACCTAAGAACCACAAAATAGAACACATAAAACATAAGAAAATAAGGACAAAGCACAAGAAACAGCTCATCGCTCGGAATGTGGCTCGACTCTCTCTCTCTCTCTATCCTAGGAATAAACCCGAAATAATACCAAAAGCACGGAAAAGTAAGCCAAAATATAAACTAAACAAGAAAAGCATAAATACACACACGATAAACAACAAAATGGACCGGTAGACACTAAAATAAACCTAGAATCGACTCGAAAGCACACAAAAACACATAAAAATACGCACAAAAAACACAATAAACAACTCCCCCACACTTAGCCCTTTGCTTGTCCTCAAGCAAATAAAACATCAAGTGGTTCGAGAGAAAAGATCGAACGGTTCAAAAATTAACAAACACGCATTATGTGACTCTCCTCATCATTCGGTTATTCACAAAATTCGACTCAAACTTGAAAGCATGGTCCGCACATACGAATCCACAAAACAAAAACATGCCCCAAGTTGCTCAATCATGAACTACTCAAATCAAACTTTCCTTTTTCAACATATACGTGCAAAAAGCAAAGGAACACCGTCTTCTCAATGTACAAAATAATAAGAACGAGACCAAATAGCCAACTCCCCATATTTTTTTATATGAGTCACTTTTTCCAAATGAGAATTGTCGGGACGATTATTACTTAGGTTTACCTCAAGGTGTATCCTCAAGTTCCCTAAGCCGGTTTCCCGTACTCGTTGACTCGGATTATCTCGAAAGAGACTAACCAAGTCAAGCGGAGTCTAATCCGTCCAATCCCACGAGTCATCATCATTTTTTTTTATTCTTTCTTTTCGTGGGCTTCTTTTTCCGACGAGGTTTCCGGATATTGCTTAACTAGGTGTGACCTCGAGGGGTTTCCTCGAGTTTCCGAGACCCGTTTCCCGGGCCCATTATCCCATTCCACGAAGCAGTTCGAGATAAGTGGAGCCTAATCCGTACTTCCTCGCGAACCCACATATTTTTTTTAGGGGGTGGCACTTAAGAGTACATAACATACAATAATAATCATATCAATCTAGCAAGGGCATAACTCGAGTGTATAGCATAACACATTTACACATAATCGAGCACAAGACAAGCATGATCAAGATCATCAATCAAGAACGAACAAAGGACAAGAAAATTTCGTGAATCCGAATGCTAGTTCTAATGCCAACAAATAATCATCTCATTTTATGAAAACCATCAAAATCCTTAAGCACATAAAGCATGAGAGTTAATAATAAAAACGTTCGACAATCCAAACTAGCCACTACGTCATTTCAAACTATACAACAAATATTAAGCCTCATGTGGGAAAGGTCGACACAACCAACAAAAACATCCTAAAACAACTGGTCCAAAATAAAACTAAAAAACCTAACAAAGATCTCGACAAAAGAAAATCACATAACACATCAAAAGCACTCACTAAAAACCCACATAATCATGAAATCCTCCCCCACACTTCAAACAAAGCAATGTCCCCATTGCTTACAAAAAAATGATAAGGAAGAACTTCATGTCACTCAAGTTCAAACGAGAGCAAAAATGCTAAGAACCTAGAGAGAAATAAAAAGAAAAACACAAAAAACACAAAGCACAAGAAGAAAATGAAGAGAAAAAGAAAAATGGGAAAAGAAAATGCGTACTCTACACGGTAAGTGATCACCGTGTATCCATATCCATATCATCCAAAGGAAGAGAAGAAGAGCCGGGCTCTTCGACATGCAAAGTCGGGAGAGAAGAGTCGGGTTCCTCGACATGAGAAGTCGGGAGAGGAGTAGGGTCAACGGTCTGAGAGTCTATGTACGTCGAGAGTCGAGTATCAAGCTTGGTAATACGGCCATCCATGGTGTCCAATCGAGCATCTATCGGGTTCTACATCGAGCAATCTCGTCGATCATAGATGATCAGATCTCATCTAGCTTCGTCATCACGGCTGTCATCGGGTGCTCGTATGGGGGAAGAGTAATAATTGGCTGGGTGCCGGTAGACGTCTCGGAAGCTTCTCCTTTTCCCCACATTTTGAAGTATGATTGCACGCAATCCCGATCCGAATGGGGGCACAAAGTGGTCTCATTGGTTATGATTTGCGCCGATTTAAGCTCCGCGAGTCCGATTGGCATCGAGTTCACAATTTCGGGCCCCGGATCGATGTAAAAGGTGGTGACAAGCTCCTAGATAGTCTATATAAAATATGATGATAGGGGGCGCAACTGTGCATACAACATGCACGGGAATAGCCACGTCAATGGCAAACCTTCCTCCTGGTTGCGATAAAAGCTTCCACACGTACAACGTAGTTGCAGCCGAGGTTCTGCTACAAAGAGCTGATTCTTCGGTGTTGGAAGATGCGTTGCTTCCTTCCCAGAAGAATGCCAAAAGTAAGGTAGAACCGTTTGCGACATCGTGTTTGGTCAATAGAGCTCCAAATGAAAGGAAGGTGGTTCACCGGTATGTTATGGAGGGCGTAATGGAGCATGACGATCTCACTTGAGTTCACCTTTGTCGCCTCCTTTTTCCCTAAGACATTATAAGCGATGAACCGGTGGACAACGCACAACGCGTGGTTGCAAATCTGCCCATTGAGTAGCTCACCCTTCTTTGTCAAAGAGAACCCCGTTAGTTCCCGCCATGCCTCATTAACGTTGAATCCCTCCGCTGGAGCCTCCAATTTCGTGTCCAAAAATCCCAAGAAGTCCTTCATCAAATTTCTAGTAATCCATCGGGGAGCTTCCGCTAGACGACATTTGACCATTTCCCGATTTTGTACAAGTTGAAAAGTACAATAAAACCCCAATACCATATTCGTTAAGGCATAGTTGTTCTTCTTGGCATATTTCTTCAACCCAAGGACCGTATGATATTTCATGACATCATCCTTAATTCCGAGACTCTCATAAAGTCGGAAATCCATCACCTTAGGCTGGCGGAGTTGTGCATCCCGAAGTTTAATGAAAATACTCCACTCGATGGAGGTTTTAAACACGAATGGAGCACAAAGGCTATAGTCGTAAACCTTGTGGGATGGGTGTGTGTCCTCTTCGGATTCCGACTCCGACTCCTCAACGACCACTTTCTTGCATTTGTTTGCTTTTGGCGCTAGTGCGAGTGTTCCTTTCTTCGGCGTCATGGTAGAGCGGGTTGACAATTGATAATGTACATACAAAGGTAATTTGAACACGCCCGACAAGACGTGTTCTATCCAACAACAAGAATCCCAATATATGCAATCGATAACCGATAAGTTCAACAACTCAATATCCCAAATCAACGAGTTCAATATTTAACAACTCGACCAAAACAACAGAATAATCGATAATGTACTCTCCAACACCTCTAATAATCGGGAAACATAGACCAAGCCAAGAAAGGTAAAGTCGATTACCTCGGTAGCGACTTGGGGCTACCGGAAAATGAAGAGGCTCGGTTGCCGGTTGGAAGGTGGAGGTGTCTGTTGTCGAACTAAAGGTCGGTATGCTCGAGATGGCTGAGTTGAGCCCGGTCGTCGTGTGTAGGAGAAGGCAAAAGGCTCAGTCACTTTTACTTGCGTGAGCTCGGGTTGCGCGTCACCAGTGGAAAGCCGTGTTGGAACGTTGCTCGAAGTTGGCGTCGCTGTGGAGGAAGACTCGACCGCCGGATATCGTGGTCTGAACAAAGTCGCCGGTACGCGTGGTGGTGCGGGGTGTTCGCGCTGCCGTGGAGTCGTCGGCCGGAGGAAGAGTGCGGTCAGCTGGTCGCGTCGCCTAGAGATTGGAGCTCGCCGAGAGAAGGATTGGAGATGGTGGTGGCGGGTTGAGCTACGGGCGGAAGAGAGTAGAGCTGGGGGAATCGAGCTTAGGGTTCGGGAAAATCGAGATGTGAGTTATGGGTTTTTGGATTTTTGGCTAGTTATTTTATTTTTTTTTATTTTTTTATAATTAATGATGGTCAAACGGGCTGCAGACGGGCTAGACCAGGGCCGGGCTGGGTGTTGGTTGTGCGGGCTGGAGCAGGTTCGGGCTATGGGCCGCTGGGCCGGGCCGCGAGATCACTATGATTTCCGCCTGCCAAAGGATCACCTGCTGTCGATGGGGTCGTGATGCGCGAAGAGCTCGCGGAATAACTGGCAAGGTCGCGAGTCACAGGCGCGAGCTCGAGGTGATTTTCGCCGCGCGAACGAGCGGCTGCTGGACTTCGGGGTGTCGATTAGGCACGATGTGTATTCAGCACCACGCTGCAAACACCTAGCCGAGACATGGCATCCTCAGCGCCGACGTCAGCTACTGGCCGGGCTCAAAACCCCATCGGCAGACGCAACCCCATTAAGTTCTTCGCGTTGACCTGTATCCTTCTGTTGAGTTTCCGATTTCTCAGCCAGAAGTACCACATCCACAACCTCACGAAGGACGGCTCCGCACTGAAAGTGGATCAAGAGGGACTTATCGCCCACATGAACCACATCAAGCGATGCATCCTGGCCGAAGGAGCTCTCAAGTCAACGGGGGCTTTTGCGGCCAGACACCGGCTCCTCCTCGGAGATGAAAGCAGTTAAGAGTAAGTCGGATCACATAAGTAAGTAGCTGGAGAGCAAGTAGCTTTTTGAGATATAATAGTTCAGCTTGGTGAATGCTTAATTTTTAAATATGGGTGATTTAAGGTTTTTAAACATGATTTATTGAAATAATGGTTGGGTCATATGGAAATGTGTTTATTGTTTCCTTGAGAATTTGGAATGGACATTTGTGTGATGATTGCTTATTTGGTATAATGTTGAGCCTTTTCAATAGCTATAAAATGTGTGTGATCGTTTAAAATGATTTGAATTATTAAGCTTTCGATTATGATGCAAGGGTGTAGTTTTATCTATACTATTATAAAAGAGCCAATGAATCTGTAAAAATATAATATTCCTAAATTACCCTTATTTTGTCAAACAGATTTTGTAATTTAATATTAATAATAATACATTAGCACTAATATCTAATTTCTAAAGACACCGAATCTGCCCCAATACGATTGATCTGCCCCAACAAAAACCGAACTGGCCAAATCCTAGCGTCCTCCATCGTTCAAATAATCGTATTTGGCGATTTGTTTTTTTCTTTTTTTGGGCAGATAATCGTATTTGAACGATGGAGGACGCTAGGATTTGGCAGATAAAAAAACACAAATCATCGAAGCAGGTGAACCACGAAATCATTCGACTTTTATTTGGTGTGGGTGGTGAAAGAAGACAACGATCAAGTGAAGAAAATCAGCCAAGGATCAAAGAAAATCAGCCCCGAAAAAAATACCGGTATGCTCACGATTCTGTGGTGATAGGGTATTGACTGTCTTGCTTTACTCTTCACCAATTTGTTCAAATGTTGTTCAAATGTTCTTGACCTATGGCTTTGCTGTTTGTGAATTGAGGTAATTATGATTTATTTTATGAACACATCAATTTGATTTTTATGTTTCATCACCATTTGGTAGGAAAAGGGTTCGGAACCTCTGGAAGAAGTGCTCCAGAAGTTAGTTGAATTTACAAAAAAAATTTTCAACTTTGCAGTTAAATGCACCCCTATAATTTCCTTTTTTCTTTAAAGATTATATAATTTCTGGGCTTTAATTTTGGTCATAGTTATGTTTATTAGTTTTAAAATTTTGATATTTTTCTTGTTGTTCTTTAGATATGTGATTGATATGTAGCTGCTCTGATTTAGTTCTTTAGAATCAATAAAATCTCAGTTGTCCATTTTTTTTTTGCCAAATACAGTTAAACCCGAGGCCAGGTCATCAAGAAACGAACAAAAAAGCAATTAAGAACCACAGTCTGAATTTTCATTACGTGCATTAACCCATATTCAAGTGGTTAGTGCTCTTTACCAGTGTTATTAATGGTGGATGGCGGTACATGGCGTTTTGCAAAAATTCCGCCATTGCGGCCGCCATTGCGGTCTATAGCGCCGTCATGACTGCCATCATTCATAAATTTTGCATAGCGGATTGTTAAAAATTCGCCACAGTGAAAAAAGTAGCTTTCCACCTGCTAATTAAAAGGAATTTGCTTCTCACACTATTTGGCGAGATTACATCTGGTTGCACTTAGGTGATATATCATATATAATTATCTGAATATTCACGGTTGAATATAATGAATGTCAATCTTTTTTTTTTTCTCATGTAAAGAGTGTGAATATAATTTTCTATTCGCAGATTCACGGCTATCACACAGCTTGTTCACCATGGGATGATCTTTGTGCCTATTGGGTATACATTAGGAGCTGGCATGTTTGAAATGGAGAAAGTTAAAGGCAGAAGCCCTTATGGTGTTGGGACTTTTGCTGGGGACGTTTCACGCCAGCCATTTGAGCTTGAAAACGAGCAGGCGTTTAACCAAAGTACATTGCCACCATTGCCAACAAACTCAAGGGAGCTGTTTGATCCCTCCTTAGATAAATACTAACTATACTATTTTTTTTTGCATTCATATGATTTCTTATTTCTTGATTTTTGAGTATTGTGTTGTTGTCACAAGATGCATATCAGCATATGTGATTCTTGCTCGATCAAATATTATTTTGTTCGATTGACTTTGGTTTATGCACATATAAGTTCGTGATCAATTATAAATAAATCTACGTTCGTTTATCTAGCATGGAAATTGGATCTTGGTTAATAATTATTTTCTTATATTTTGAATAATTGTTAATAAAAATAATGTGGCAATCTACTATTTGCATCAATTTAAGTATATATATGATATCTAATGCATCATACTGTTGTTAGATTTACCATCTTCATTGCTATATATTTGTTATTTTATTCATTATAAGTACTGGTATTAACAGATAAAAAATTAAGCAGGAAGTACCATATGCTTTAGGCACAAGCAGGAAATAGTTTTAGTTATCCAAAAAAGCTTGGTAGATAAAGAAGCTGAATGAATCATGCCATAAGGATACAAAACTATTACCATATTTTATTCAATACCATAAAGATATTGATAAGAGTATACCCCTAAATAAAATTTGAAATATGCTGACATAAACAAAACTATTACTACCACCTATTCTTTTTAAATGTTATTTTGGTTTTATCAACCATTAACTAAATAAATGTCGTTTTGAATTTTTTGTACATATTTTTCCATTACTACTCTCATTTAGCTAATAAATATACTACGTCTTTTCATATTAACTCTTCATCTTTCTCAAAACATTAATCTTTATCTTCATTAATGAAAGTAATAAAAGTTAATATTGACAAAAAAAAATTCTTAAATATTATGCAACTTCTCAAAAGACACTTATTATGAATAGGTACCATATTTTATTGAATACCTTAGAGATATTGATAAGAGTATACCCCTAAAAAAAATTTGGAATATACTGACATAAACAGTTATGGCTTCAACATCAATGGTTTTTACTAGAAAACAAAATATTTATTTTTCTCATAAATTTATGAACATAATAATAATCATTAAAAATATTCAAATTATCTGAGTGCACACCATAGAAAATATAAGAAGTGTTACAATTGATATTGTGCAAAACAATGAAACTCGGTACAACAAGAACTTCAGTATCCAAAAGTTATATAGCATATTTGTTATATATTTTTCGTGTACAAAAGCTACATATTTTCTTAGTTATTATATACAGGCGTAGAGTGATTAGGGAGGGTTATAAAGTCGGCAATGTTAAGTCGTCCATGAATTGTAGTTACGCGAAGCATTCGAATTCGTTGCCATATTTTCTTGCAATTACCGTTTCTCACTTTAAGATAGTTTGAGCAAATAGCTAAACTGGAATTCAGGTGGCATTGATCGTCCTCGGTCAATCGATCGCGAAATCGGTATGGCTTTCTTCACACGTCGCAAATAAGATTCTTTTGGTTGAAAACTTTTGTAGCACATTGTATAGCATTTTTGTTAATGAGAGTATCAAATGATTTTTTTTAAGAAAAAAATAAATAAATTTAAAAAGGATTACACAAAAAAGTATAAAAATCAACATTAAAAAATGTAATAGTCCATCTAAATACTGAGTTTTGTAAATCACTAAATCGACTTACAATTAAGAGGTCGAAAGAGTAATTCAGTATACACATTTTCAAAATTTATATAGAAATATAAAATATAAATATTGTTAGTACATTTTTAATAAATAAATAATATTATTAATTTAAATTAAAACAACATAGAAAATAAGTTTAAATTATTAATATATTGTTTCAATCAAAGTAGTCTCAATCAAAGCAAACGAGTCCATACCCGCTGCCTTTGAATAGGTTAAATCCTACTAAAGTTAGGAATTTGGGGAGTAAATTGGATTGATGCGTACTCACATTTTTTCTGTATTATGCTTTGTTCATGTTTGAACGGGATGGTTAATTTCAATTCTTGAGAACACGTAAGGAGTGTGTTGGGCACGCTGAAACTCTGTGCGCGTGCGTGCGTGTGTTTGTTGTCAGTGATTTTCATGAAATGTGAGTTGAAGTGTACTTAATTTTTATGCAAAGGTTGGATCTTTTTCTTTCTCCTACATCTTTCTATTCTTCAGAGACATCTAATTTGTCTGAGTTGCCGTCGATTAGAAATAATTTATCCTATAATACAAAATATATACAAGTTTTTATGAGATCGAAATGAGTACTATATGTTTTTTTTTATACTTCAAGAATTTATTGTTTTTATTGTTTTCAATATTTTTATTAGATTGTCATAATGTATTTAAGTTTTCCATATTGGATGTTGTTAGAGATGTAATGGTGTCAATACTTCAAAAAATAAATTAAGCCTTTCATTCATTTATGTGTTTTAATAAATAATTGGTATTTGTCGTTTTTTAAGTTCAATTATCAAAGAGCATGTATGTTTAACGATAAATGAGTTGGGAAATATGTCCAATTGCATCCATTGTGGTGCAATAAAATTTCAGTACGAGTGTCCAACATTTTGTTGTAATAATGAAAAAGTCAAACTTGATCCCATTGAAGTGTTTGATAAATTATATTAATTGTTCACTTCACAGACGAAAGAGGCAAAACAGTTTCAAATAAACATTCGTCTATTTAACAGTATGTTCTCTTTTACATCATTAGGGGTCAAATTCGATAAAGAACTTGCATCTGCAAGACAAGGAGTCTATACTTTCGAGCTCAATGAGTAGTGTATCTTGATCTTCCTAGCTTATTACCTAAAGAAGATTGACCTAGATATTTTCAGTTGTATTTTGTGGAAACTATACAAGAGGTCGAGAATAGGATATGCATATTGTGAAGATGACCGAATGGTTTATGTGGGGTGTTCTATTGCAGACTACATTAGATCCATTGAGCAGGTAATTAGTTTTTCAATTTATAACTCAAATTCATCTTCTAAACTCAAATTTATAATTCAAATTCATTGAGCAGGTAACTAGATTTTAAATACTCCATTTTTAACTCAAATTTCATTCCAAATTCATTAGGGAGAAGAATCATCTGGTTACTATCGAGGATTGAGCTTGCAATCAACCACCCAATTTCAATTTCTCATCCAAATAAACAGTAAGTCCTACAACT